AGAAAAAAGTTTAGTTACTTGAACTGCCTGACTCCAGCCACCCCTGTGCATAAAATTCACTGTGACTTTGGGGACATCAGGCACAGGCTGCCTGAGATGCTGACCCTGGGTGCCTAATGGGTAAAATTGGTACAGGTTGACCTGCCACGGTTGAAGTGGGGTGGGGATAGGGGGATGACACCCACTCAACCTCTCTTTCACCCTCTCCTTTCCTGTGGATCCTTAGGGATGCCCAAGGATCCCTCACAGCCCAGTGTGAAAAACATTGAGCTGGTCACTTATCCCAGTTCCACCACTTTTTAGCTGTGTGCCCTTGGACAAGTCACCCCTTTCAGCCCCCTGTGAGACAGTGAATAGTTTATATGGTTAGGTGCAATAATGTTCACCAAGGACCTGGCCCAAGTCTGGCTCAGCATGTGCACCCAGAGTGAGGACTGTGACCAACCCGGCCTGCGTCCCTTGCCCATTCCTTGGTCTGTCGCCAGGGAGCAGGGCCACGGGGCAGAGGAAAGCTAAAGATGTGTTCCACGGTCCACTTCTATGGCTGCCTGCAATTCCTGCTGCCTGTGCGCAGCAACCCTGGTGATCTCATTAGCAATTATGTAATCACAGTGATAATGTGCTGTAGATGGGATTCCTCAGGAAACAGACAATGGGAACGAGTTGGTGTGCTGGTAGGAGGGTGTCCTGGAGCCAGGTCCTTGGGAATGGCGGGTGGGAGGGAGGAGCTGGCTAGGGAGGAGCCCAGCTGTTGAACAGGCTCAACCCCTAGGTGGCTCTCTGCAGCAGAAGCGATTCCCAGAGAAAGGGGCTGGTGGAGGAGGGTCATCCCTTTGGTGGGTGGGGTGTGGGGGATGGGACAGAACAGGGGACTTTATTGAAGGGGGGCCAAGTGGGGCTTCACCACATCGTGATAACTGTCCTTATCATCATCACCACTTCTCTGCTTGTCTGTGATCTTCTTGGGGACAACAGGGCCAGATCTGGGTTTGCCCACTGTTGTCTCCATGTCCAGCTCCAAGTGAGACCGTGGCTCTTGGGAGGGCCCTCGATGTCGTCATGCCCACGGGACTAAAGGCCACCTTTTATGTGCGTTGTTTGTATAAGTGTTCTGTCTGCAGCCTCTAACGTGGAGGCAGGCATGATGAGGAGATGGAGGGGGGTGATGTGCAGGACAAGTGAGAAGCAGGGCCTGCAGGCGGCAGTGTGCGGGATCTGGTGATGATGCGGCCAGCTTGGCCAGCCTGGTTGGCACAGATGATCAGATCTGTGCTCGGGCCACCCCTTCCAGGACTTCTCGCTTCTTTGCTGTGACCTGGTGTCCAAGTTAAATAACCTCTCCTGGAAACAGAGAGGTTCTGGGAGCTTGCTTGGGACCTTCTTCCCGGCACCAGCTTGCTAGGCAGCCAGCCTCTACCTGGGCCCCTCCCTCCTCCAGTCCTGCTCTGCTGTCCTGTGCAGCTCACTGCCCAGCCTAAGGTGCAGGGAGACATGGAGCTCCCTGGAATAGAGCTAACCTGAACCATCACCGTGCTGCGGGCAGGTATAGGCGAACATCTCTAATACGTAAATCCAAAATCCAAACTGTTCCCAAACATAAAAGCTTTGGAGCACTGACGTGACGCCACAGGTGGACAATTCCACATCTGACCTCATGGGGCAAACACAGGTGCAGGACACACAGCTTTTTCAGCATCCCCAGAGGAGAAAAGGCCCCGCCCCCCAGCTCCTTTCGGCTGCAATACAACTTTCTCTTCACATGCCCAGATTCCCTATGTCACCACAAAGTTACTAGAATGACACCTTTGCAGGCCAGATTCTCAACCAGGTCCCTCCCGATGCCCACCCCAGGCCAAGATCTCCATGCACTACCCACGATTTTCTTTTTTCTTATTCTCTGTTCTACTGTGTAATAGCTAGCACATACCCCTGTGGGTAGCAGCAATAAGAAAAAGAGGAAGGATTTACTTATGTCTATCGTACAGCCCAGGAAGCCACACTGGGGGGAAATGGGACTGGGAGTGGGGTGAGGAATGTCTCACAGAAGGTGTGATGTGTGGCTGACCGCCATCCAGGGCCCCAAGAAACAGGGGGACACACTTGACATTCCAGGCTGAAGGTGATGAACAGAAGTTAATGAAAAATAGAACAACATCACATAAAGCTAAAATTACCTCCAAGACTATGGGTATAAGGTGTATATAAAACAAATGAATTTCATGTTTAGAGTTGGAGCCTATCCCTCCCATATCTCTTTATATACATGTGAACATTTTAAAACCTGATCCCCCCCCTCCCCTGCAAAAACCCCAATTCTTAACACTTCTGCTCCCAAGCATTTCAGATCGGGGATACCCAATCTGTGCTTTGACTTGAGAGTTTTCTATAGCAGCAGGAGGTTGAGGGATGTTGATCAGAGGAACATTTGCTGAGGGCCAAGGGCAAAGGCACAGGTTGATCAAACACAGGCCTTCAAACCAGCAACTGTAAGGCAAGTTAAATCACCTCTCCTGGACTCAGCTTGCTAATCTGTCCAGTGGGAATAACAGCATTTCCTTCATTAGGTTGTTCTAAAGATTCAGTCAAGTTCCATTTTGCAAAGAAATCGGCGTTGAAGAAATCTTAGCTCCCACCATTTCATTCTCCCCTAAGGAAACAAAGAGGTTCTGGGAGCTTGCTTGGGACCTCCTTCCTCAGCAATGTCTTGGAAAGGAGGAAGGAGGAAGGGCCAATGGAGCAGCAGCAAAGACAGCCCTGTGTTTAGGGGGGGAACAAAAACGCACTGAAAGCTCCAGAGAGCGCTACTGTATGGGAATAATTATGGCTGCTATTTTTGTGCATTTGTTTAATAATGTTAATTTGGCGACAGCCTGATATTACAACATCCTCTCCCACACGGAGGTGGCTTTAGTTCCTTAGTCACCAGAATCCATTTGCATTTTTCCTGTGGGGTTTGAAGCTGGGAAGCTGGTGACTCACAGCTGGAGGGTGGGGGAGCTCTAGGAAAGGCCCCTCTGGGTGTGGGGGCAGAGAAGGAGGGCACTAGCTCCTGGCCATGTTGCCCTGCGGTGGGGAGAAGCTGAAATATGCCCAGCCTCCCTGGCAATGATCTTCTGAGCCTCTTCCACCCTGGCAAAGAAGTGGCCATTCTTGAACCAGAGAACTTGCAATGTGGTTGTGGAACATCCTTGGAGCACAGAGAAAGCACAGGGCTGGAAAGACCAACAGGATAGTCACAACTTGGAAATTTGTGTCCGAAAAAGAAAACGAGATCAAAGAATGTTTTCTGCGGGCGGGGGCGGGGGGCAAAATTTGACTAGTGGATGTTGCTGGAAACAACCCAAGTGTCCATCCACTGGTGACTGGGGGAGTCCATCCCACAGGGCACAAGCAGCTACAGAATAGAATGAGGACTGAGGTGCAGAAGCCAGAGATGGACTGAGGGAAAGTTTCTCACAGCAGAATTCCACTCAAAAAAGAGGAACGAATGGTATCAGAACAACATCTTTTGCAAACCCAAATAAAATAATGAACCTGGGCCAGGACGTCAATGATCACTAACTTCACAAAGGATGCCACAGGTCTCCTGAAGTTTTATTGACAGTAGATCAGACCGGCTTCCAATCGAGCCTCTAGAGCCACCCACCAATTCACAGGACATAGAAGGAACAGAAGAAAATATTCACCAACACCATCTGGATGCAGTCAGAAAAATCCAAGCTATGGGACACTCTGCAGCAACCAAGGGAGGGTGAGGAGGAGACACCCAGAGAGGAACAGAAATGCAGGAGGCAGGAATCGTCTTGGCAATGCAAGGCTATTAGATGGCTCTTGATAAACGAAAACACATAGACATAATATATTTATTAACTTATTATTTATTATAAATATTTATATAAATGGGAAAAAATCTGAACTTTCAAATGGATATTTGATGAAATTATGAAATTATTGTGGAACTAGGGATGTAACTGAGTGGTAGAATGCTTGCCCTGCATTCCATCCTCAGCAAAATAAATAAATAAATAAATAAAATCTTAAAAAAGAGAGAAAAGAAAAAAGAAAATTTTGTTACTTTTTGAAGTGTATCCTTGGTGGTATGATATTAAAAGAACCCTCATTTCTTGTGGATATACAGTGAAATATTTACCAAAGAAATGATATGCGTTTTGAGATTTGCTTCTAAATAACCCAACAGTAGAACACGGGTTGGTCCTTGTTGTTCCCTGGGGCTTCTTTTCTACCTTTGAATAAGGAGGACTATTTCATATTCCTATTTTTAAGCAGTGGATCTGCTGCAGACCTCAGGTTTTTTGTCTGATAAGATCTGTGTGTGTTCGCTGGTGCTGATGATATTTGGTGAGGCCCTTCTGTGGGAGCTGAAGCTGAAGTCTGGTGTCTAAACCGACACTCACAGGAGACTGTGCCTGGATTCAAGATGGTGGATCTGTTCTTGGATGAGTCCTAAGTCTATGAGCTGCCATTTTGGGGCCCCTCCATCCTTGATCACTTCAGGCATCTGTGGCTTTCACAGATGACACCCACCTGGAGCCTCTTGTTGGGCCTATTGAAATTGAGTCTCTTGATAATTTTGTTAATAAAAATAACAATCTATTGGGGCTGGGACTGTGGCTCAGAGGTAGAGTGCTCACCTAGCATGTGTGAGGCACTGGGTTTGATCCTCAGCACCACATAAATGTAAAATAAAGATATTGTGTCCACCTAAAAAAAAAAAACTGGGAAATAAATATTTTTTAAAAATAACAATCTGAGGAGACTTTGCATTGTACATAGTGTTTGGATTTCTTAAAAAATAGACTTCGTAGTGTTTCCACACAGGGTTGTACTGTATCTGAAAAGGGGAGGTGTATAAGTGTAAGCGAATTTAAAACAGAAATTGACCTTCGTTCAGTCGGCTGTGAAGATGCGATACGTGGTCTTTTTATTGCCTGGCCAGAAAACTCCAAAGCCCTCAAGCTTTGCTCTTTTTGCGATTGCAGATTGCAAAATGAATTATTCAAAGGCCAGAGATGAAGATGGGCCTACACTTTATCGCTGGAGCCCTGAGACTGCACGGTCATTTCTGAAGATTCATGGGGTCCTGCTCAGGGAATCCATAAGTCTACCCTTGGCCTTGACATTGGGAGGGAACACCCTGGCTCCAGAAACCCGAGCACTGCCATCCTGGTTCTCAAGGACAGGCGGTTGCTGCAGCCCAGTGAATACCACCTCATGGGGCAGAGGGCTCAGGAGCAGACAGGCTGGCACAGACTTGAGCCCAAGGTACCTGGAAGGTGGGGCTGGCTGCACAGCCTGGGAGGGAGCAGGGAGGGTGCGGGGGCTTCAGACTCCCTGACTGCCCACTCAGCACCATTTTCTTCCTTTTCTACGTTTTGTTTGGGAAGCTACTCCTCCCCAACTAGACTCAGGAGAAGATGGCTTTGTCTTCGGCTCCAGTGATTAGATCCCAGTAGGTCCAAGCTGGTGGTTCTCAACCCTGGCTTCCCATTACAATCATCTGGGGGCCTTTGAAAACATCCAGGTGTCTGGAATCCTATCCCTGAGGCTTAGAGCATCATGTCACGCCTTGATATCACCTGGGATACAGGTGGTGACCCAAGGCAACATCAGAATCCCTGGGAGAACCATGGTCAAAGCCAGATCAGTGGGCCTGGGGGGTCAGCTTTCCCCCCGAAACTGCCCTTTCTAATAGCGAGGAGGGGTGTGGGGTGTGTAAAGAAAGTTCCTCCTAGGCCATGAGCAGAGTGAGGGGTTAGAAGAGCAGGACTGGGTCGTGACAGGCCAGCAGAGCTCGGCTCAGTCATGGAGACTCTGAGCCCACACAGCCCCGAGTCAGCCTGTCTTCTCCACTGGGCACCACAAGAATCCCCATCTAAGTTTTCAATATGGCTACTACTTCTTCTCCTTCCCAGGGAAGAGAGCCTGGGGGTGCTGCCCGTCCTGTGGACGGAGAAACTGAGGCTCAGAGCATTCTAGCAATCTGCTCAGAGGGAGTGGCTGGAACATTTGCTCTGGGTTTGAGCGCAGTCACCTGGGAACAGCACCCAGGAAGCATCTTTCTGCCCCTCACTTAGCGTGAAAGTGGTGCCTCTCGATTTTGAACTTCAGGAGTTGGCTGACCCAGGACCCCCTCCCCAGAGCATTATCAAGGAGAGCAGATGCTGGGCTGGAAGCGCCCCTTCTGCCCTTCCCCTGTGGCTGGGAGGAAGAACAGGACAGTGAATTCTGCTGCTTCTCCTCTCTCCACCCTTCCTCCTGCAGTGGCCTGACATCTTGTTCTCTGGGGCTCCCCCAGCGTCTGATATCTAAATTTCATAACATTAGGGTATCATCTGGGTGCTTCTGGTTGGGGGCCGGGGCTGGGGGCTCATGGCTTGAGTTAGGTTGAGTTTTGCCTGTAAATCTCGTCTTTAGAGTTGGGACAGAGCTGGAAGCAGAGCCGAGAGGTGGCTTTAGCCACCTCCTCTCATTATAGGAATGAAAAAGCTGAGGTCCCCAGGAAATTAGGACTCAGTATAAGGACCACTGCTTCCCTGGAACTAGCAGGGAAAGGGTCCCTTGTGTGAAAATCCTTAGGGTGGGGCCACCCAGACAGAGAATCAGCCCTCCAGCAGGTGCACAGGGCATGCTGCTTCTCCTTACACATCAGAGACTGAGGCAGGCCAGGGACAGTGTGATCTGTACAAGGTGACAGAGCACAGGTATAGGATCCCAGCGCAGGGACGTGAGAATCCAGAGACCTTCGCTCTGAGGGAACCAGTGATTGTGGTCCAGCCCCTGTCCTGGGAGACATGGGTCCTGGGTACCCGCCCATTTCCCATCACTCGATGCACACCTGGAACCCAATTGCAAAGGCAGTCACCTCTGGGGGTGCACAGTTCTGGGGGGTGGGGGTTCTGGGGTTGTAGCCTGGCTATGGTTCACCACCTCCACTTCCAAGGGGACTGCTGGATCTGCATGGTGCCACCGAGCCTCACCCCTCCTATGCCCCAGGGGACAGCAGCCATCAAGCTGGGCCCACAGGTACCACCAGCGGGGTCCTGGCCTTTGCTTGCAGGAGAACGGGCGTGTATTGCAGAGGCCACAGGTTCATTCACCCCTGTGCCCACTCCCTACTCACAATGCTGTGTCCTGAAGGCTAATCAACTTCCCAAGTGTCACATTAGTGTGCACGAGTGCATTTGTCAAGTGTGGGCAACAAACCTGCCCCATGTGCCCTGCCCATCGGGTGCATACATTCAGTGGCCCGTGTGCCAATTTGCTAGAACCTTAAGGTGAAATACCGCTTTCCTCTCTGTCCTCTGCCCCTTTCCCACTTACAATGGTCAATTCTATATGCCTGAGTCACAGGGCTCAGATATTTCGTCCAACATTTTTCTGGATGGTTCTGTGTGTATTTTGGATGGATGCAATTAACATTTAAATCAGTTAAACGGTGACACTGAGAAGAGCAAGTTATTCTCCATAATGTGAATCGACCTCATCCAATCAGTCGAAGGTCTGAATAGAACAAAGTCAGGGTTCTCCTGGGCAAAGAAGCTTCTGCACAAGCTGCCTCTTGACTTGAACTACAGCCACAGCTGGTCAGCTTCACCCAGCAGATTTGGGTTGGATTCGCCAAACCTCCATAATTGCACCAACCAATTCCTTAAAATACATCTTTCTTCCTACATAGACATCCTGTTGGTTCTTTACCTGGGGACAAGGGACAATCACTCAAACAATAAGGGGACTCTCCTTACACATGGTCCTCTGGGGACATCTCTGAAAGTTTGTGATATCCAGGGATCGCCTCTGATTCTCCCTCTTCAGGTCTGTGTTGCCCCGAAACTCTCCCTTCATCTGGCGATGTCGGGTGGGGCAATGTTGTGATTCACCCATCGGCCAAGAAGGAGGGCCAGGAGCTTCAGGTGGGAGGGACCCAGAGTCAGAACGGTTCCCTCTTGACGTCTGGGAATGATATTTATTCATATTTATTTATATCATCCACAGTACTTTGGCATCATATATGATTTCTGAGTTGAGTTTTTTTTTTACTTGTATGTTTGACGTACAAATCTTTTGATTGTGGAGAAACTTACAAAATAGCCTCTGGTTCTGAGATTGATCTAGAGATGGGAAATGAGACGGTACTGGTGGCCCCAACCCCCAGGAGAGGAGAAAATGGCCTGTCCCTAAGCAACCTGCAGACTGTCTGTTCCAGGGCAAGCATGCCTCGATGTGGCCCCTCATCCTCCAGTCTGGTAAAGTTCCATCCTAATCATGCCACAGTCAAAAAGCAGCTTATATTTAGGAGTGGATTCTATTTTTTTCCTGTGTGCACAAAAACAAGCCTGGCATGGTGACAGAGAAAGAGTTTTAGAGAGAGAAAAGGACATCTTAGGAGCTAATTACAATGACAAAAATTGGAGTAGACAGCATCTAAACCATTGTCCAGCTTGGAAGTGCTTTCCCGTTGCCTCCAAGCATGCTGACTCCTTTGCTACGGGTGGCCCAGTGGCTTGGGCGTTGTTCTGCCCACAGTAACCAAAGAACAGGAGGAGGATCATCACAGGGTGCCAATGGCATGGGAGCTGGGCCTTGTGGTTGCTATCAGTTGATAGACAAGGGTTGAAAAGTCACACACAAAGCAAAATGAACTGAATCATTGGTTGTGGGTGAGTATATGGGGAATGGGTTTGGAAGCAATTTCTACCAAGCTCCTCAGAGCGGGAGGGGTTGCTCCAGGATCCCTGGTGAGTCAGTGGTTGGCTTCTCTCCTTTGCCCTCTACCACGCTGAAGCTGTGAACCAACCTGCCTGCTAAGGGCCAAGTCAGGCCCTCTCCCCAATTCTTACATTGAAGCCCTAATCCCCAAGACCTCAGAATGTGACTATGTTTGGAGACAGGACTTTAAGTGGGTGATCAAATTAAAATTGATCATCTAGTTAATTGCGGCAGACCCTAATCTAATTGGTTGGTGTATTTATAACAGGGAACCTGGACATACCAAGAGACCTCAGGGGCACATGGGCAGGAAGACTGTGGGAGTTACAGCAAGAAGGAGGCCGTTTGCAAGCCAAGCAGGAGGCCTTAGAAGAAACCAATCCAGCCAACAACTTGACCTTTTTTTTGACTTCCAGCCTCAGGAACCATGAGAAAGTAAACTTCTGTTGTTTGAGCCTCTGAGTCTTGGTGGTTTCTGGCAGCCTGAGTTGAATAAGACGCTGCCTTTCCCCAGGCGCCTGCGGGGTGCCTTCCTATACCTCGTGCCAGACCCCTCCACGGTGGCTCTATACCTAATGGCATCTCCAAGAGAAAAGCAGACACGGCCAAAAATACACAGCGAGGAGAGCATGATATTGTTTTTCTATCTAAAGTCTGAAAATAAAAAATGTACAAGATGAGCCAACTCCTGGAGATGGGAGGGGGTCATGGCTGGCAGTGGCTCCTCCGCCATTTTCCTCCTGGGAACTTCACAGAGGTTTCCTGAGTCCTAGCTAGGGTTCCCCCCAGGACAACAGGTGTCACCCCACCTGTTCTTCTGGAAGCACCTGACTTGCCACTATGTCAGATGTTCACCTATATTAGGGTTCTAGGAGCATGTCCACAGGCACCCTTGGGGGGGCAGCTGGAGCAGTCTGAGCCTGGCTTGGTTAGGCTCCAAATGCGCCAGGTGTCACCAAATCCAGCTCCAAATCCCAGGGAGCTCCTTTGAAAGTTGCCTTGTACTTAGGTGATATAGACACCTGTCTATGTGATGAGACTGTAGGGCCTTCAGTGGGAAATAGGGCCCTTGTACACAGGGACAGTACCTCCAGGACCAGACATAGTGCCTGGTACTACTGACCCAGACCAACCGAATTCTCAAATTCTCATTGACAGAGTCCCCTCTCTGGGTTAAGGCATTAAAGGCCCCTGCTGAATCTGTGATTAAGGGGCCATGCTATTAAGACAGCTGCCAACACCTCTTTGTGAGTTCTTCAGCGTGGCCTCAGACCCAGCCTTAATGCTTGGGTTCAGGGCTGCTGGGCTCTGGAGGACGGGAGGAGGGAAGGTCCATCGCCTGGGCGGTGGGGTTCGGCAGGAGGGAGAGGTGTGACAGCATTTCAGGGGGAATGCCTGCTATACTTCTCAGAGCCAGCCACACCTTCCTATCAGAGTCGTTTTTGGCTGGATGGCCCAGGTCATGAACGTGAGGCCAGGCCGTTGGTAAGCACTCTAGTCCTTTTGCTATGTCAGGGACTGGGCATTCTCAGAACTGGCCTTGGCCCGGTGTGGAGTTGGGAGTGTGGGTACAATAACAACCAGAACACCAGCTTTCCCAGGGCAGGGGGCGCTGCTGAGCCACTGCTGGGATTGGCACCCCAGAGGCGGGGCTTCACCTGCACTCTCAGCCAATCAGTGTGCTCCCTGGCTCCAGGGTCCTGACATCCACGTGAGGTGTGAGCTACTCTAGGAGAAGCAGGGAGAGAATGTGGTCACACAACAGGGCTAAGCAGTGGGTGGCCTGGGCTTGCCAACCACAGGCTTGGGGCTCAAGGGCCGTCAGGGGAGGAGGGCAAGGGCTGTCTGGCTGTCCACAGTCCAGGCAGGGGGGTGGCCAGGGTTCAGCAGGGAGAAGATGACATCTGGTCATAGTCGGGGCACTTGAGCAAGGCTGGGTAGTTGCTGTTCATCTGAAGGGAGGTGTCGCTGGAGATGTCGGAGGGGCTGCGGCCCCGGATCCAGGCATCTGGGTGCAGGAACTGGCCGGAGTAATCGGAGCAGTTACTCAGACGTGGACGGTAGAAGCCAGGGTGAGGCCTGTACATGTCCTCGGCGGTATACCTCTTCATGAACAGGTACACAGACATCACCCCTGCACTCTACAGGGAGGAGGAAGGAGAGAAGAGCTCACTGCTCAGGCCTGGCTGGGACCCCCCTGCTGGGGTCTGCCCAGGACACAGTCATGGGGGAGCTCAGGGAAGGTGGTCAGTAGATGTGAGGACAAAAGTGGGCCCTGGAGACACCCTAGATAGAGGAGCCCTGGGAAGGCCACAGAGTGGCACATGCTAGACATGAAAAAGGGTCATGAAGTTGGTGGTCCAGGATACTTATGGAATGCCTTCCTTCTTCCAGCCCAGCAGGGCAGCCCATTCTGACACGGGACACAGTGGGCAGGTTACCTCTGTTAAAAGGAAGGAGATGGCAGCAAAGGCAAATGACCATCCGTATTTGTAGTTGAAATAGGTCTCTGCATCCTTGGTCCTGTTGAGCATCTCGTCATTGATGCTGGAGATGTAGAGCACTAGGCCCACCACAAGAGAGAGGCCTGGGAGGAGACAGGGAGGGAAGGGGACACTCAGCACAGAGGCCCAGGAGCTTGCCGATGTGGCATTCATCAGGAACAGAGCTGCTGACCTTCTAATCACAGTGCATTCATTTTGGAGTTCAAGGGCAAGCAGGAGCTTCAGGATCCTGTCTAGACCAGCACCTTCTAGATAGTTGTGGATAGCTGCAGCTCAGGAAGCTCCCTGTCCAGCCACCCTTCTGAGCCAGGGACCAAGCCCGGTGGTCCTTCCCCAGCTGGTCACATCTGCCAAACATACCTGCCTGAGCCCCAGCCCTGGACATTCTCATTTTCTGAGCCTGGGCTGGACCCTGGCACTGTATTGTCCTAAAAGCTCCCCAGGTGATAGTAACGTGAACCAACATGGAGGTGCACACCCTGAGCTTAGCAAGTGGCTTCTACAAAACTGAGAAGAAGACAGGTTCCCTGAGCAGGATGCCAGGCCTTCGTCCCTCTCTCTGGCAGCAGGTGGTGCACAGCACTGTGGCATCTACTGATGTGGCCAGAGATCTGCGCAGCCCACCTGAGCACAGGGCATGGCCTATCTGAGATCTTTAGGCAAAAGACTGAAAACAGTATGTGCAGATTCTGACCAGCAGTTAACTGGGAGGCCATTGGGACCAAACTCCTCCTGCCATTATGTAAATGACTGCCTCCGGCATCAGTCTCATCAATTAGTAACTGTAATTGAATCAAGACATAATTAATTACTCTGTGTTGAGCTGTTCGGTTTTAATTCTATTCACATTATTATACGAAACTTGGGCATCTCAAAGGATGAATATTAGAGTGAAATAGATGTGATCCAAACCTTTCTAAATACCTAACTCATGAGTGAATCATTAATGTCCACACATGCCATTCTCTATTGTTCTCAAAACAACTTCATGTGGCCTCGCCCAATCCTAGATTTCTGTGGCCTACTCTTGAAATCTCAGGAGTCCCAAAAGCAACTGTAGAGCCTGGGCGATGTGAGGTTCACAGCAGGAAGGGTAAAGAGCTGAAACCTGCATCTGTATGTCTCTGCATAGGTGGAAATATCACCATGCGAAGGTTGGGCTGGTGATATTGCAGGTGCTCCATAAATATTTGTTGGGTGGATGGATAGAAGGGCAGAAGACTGGATTAACAGATGGAAAAATGGCAGATGAGTTGGTGGGTAGAGTAAAGAATAGATGAACAAATTGAAGAAAGAATGGTTGGGTGGATGGGTGGAAAGAGAAAGAATGTTTTTTGGTCCTTAGGCAATCTGACAGCTGCCTGGCTACCAAGCTCTATTGACAAGAAAACATTGAAAAAGGGATCCTAAAGTGACTTGGGAGTCAGATGGCAGTCATAATGCACAAGAGCTCCTTCCTTCTTTCCTTCCTGTCCACCTGTCCATCCTTCACCATTCAAACCACCCACCCATCTTCCACCTCCTGTTCTCCTTCCCATCTTCCTCTCTCCAACTAAACAGTTCAAGGCACCTAAAATGCATGCCCTGAGAGCCACTTCTTTTTGGCTCAAGTCATTATCTTCAAAAGAAAAGGTGTCCATGAAAGTGTACAAGTCACCCTGAAGGTGTCCATGAAAGTGTACAAGTCACACACTCCCTGGGAGTCACCTCATCCATTTCCATCCCTAACAGCCTTCTAGATGTCACTTGGACATCTCAAAACTCAGCATTTCCCACACGAAATTCATGACCTTTGCCTAAATCTCTTTCTCCTGTGATCCCTGGATCACTGATGTGCTATTCCATGGACCCAGTGCCCAAGCAAGAAATCATGCCCAAGCACTCACCCTTGACTCTGCCCTTGAAAGTCTACCCCTCGTCCTTTTCAGTTGACCTTCTCCTTTCTCTCTGCAGCACCGTCCATCTCTCCTGCACCCACCACGAGGAGTAATGATTCCATCCCATTCCCCCCCACGCTTCGTCTTTTCTCTTCCCTCCAGACCTTCTTCCCCTTCCACCCAGCCTCACTCCTTTGCCTAATTCCCACTCACTTCCAGCTCATCCTCCATCCACCTGCAGCTCTCCTGCCATCTTCCCCGACCAACCCTTGGCCTGAGTTGTGGCTTCTGCTCTGGGCTCTGCAGCAGTCCTTGCTGGCTCCCATCATGGCCCTTTCTATCTGGGTTCTAGTTCCGTCTACTTGTTTATGTCTCCACTCTGCCGTCCTTTTTGCAGGCTGCGAGACCAGCACCCAGAATAAGGCCTGGTAGGTACCACGAATCACTGAAGTGCAACCTGGTGCCAGTCCAGGAAGACAGGTCCATGGTGAAGGGCCCCTGGTGGGCCCAGGGCATGGGGTGTGATGGGCAAGTGAAGAGGACAGCAAGAGTCTCCTGAGGAGAGCTGAGGGCTGGGGAGTGAAGGGACATAAATACAAAGGCAGACAGTGTTTATTTTTCAGGCCCAAACATGACAATACCAGCTGCTTCAGGAACAGGGGTCCTCCTCATCAATGGGAGCTAGAGAGGCAATACCTGGGTTCCTAGCCCAGGTCTGCCCCAGGGAGAGCCTGTCAAGTCACCCCCACTCCAAAGCCTCTTTGCTATTCTGCCAGGTCGTGGATGGGCCTGGGGTCATCAGAATCCTTCTCCAACCCTGACTCAATTCTGCCGGGCTCACTGACTTGTCCTGTTTCCAGTGCCAGGAGCTGACCCACAGCCATGACCAGGACTTCCTGCAGCAGAGCCATTCAGGAGTTAAATATCAAAAGTCCAATGCACAATAAAGGAAAAAAAAATTGCCACTTACCCGAGAGGATAAAGAAGATGCCAGAGACAAAGGCCAGTATTGTCCTGTGGGGACGGATGTGCCCGATGTTGCTCAGGATAAACCCGATGAACATGAAGAAGAGGCTGACCAGAGGGAATGGTGTGGCCGAGCGAATCATTTCTAGTTAAAGGGACGAAGGAGCAGCCTGTCAGCCTCTAGTGGTCTCAGCCACACTCCTCATCCCGAGTACAGTGTTCTGTAGTATCTAACCAGGGTCCTCAAAGCTGCACCCCTGCATGTGTCCCTAGAGCCATGACCCATGGGGTGGCCTGGGGACCACCCAGTGCTGGTAGGGCTTTTGTCCCTGAGACAGAGCCAGAAGGTCTGGCTTCAAGTGCTAATATATTCAGAGCCTGTCTTCTCTGGCTTAAACTACTTCCTCCTAGGAGTCTACACTGCCTGCCATATGGTAGCTGTGGAAGGACCTGGTCATGACATCTTGTTTCTTCTCTCAGCGACAGTCACCATTTCCATGTGCAAGGAGCTGCCCTGAATGGTACAGGGGAAAGTCACTGGCCTCCATCTTCCTCAACCTATAATTACTTGAGGAACATTTCTATTGTATACTAAAGACTTTGGTCTTTTTCCCAGTTCCCTGAGAGATAGCATCCAAATCCTTAGAATTTCCTAAGTGACAGAGTGTCTTTGTTAGTCATGACGGGTCCCTAGATATACCTGAGTTTATACCAACAGGTGACTCAGGATGGGGCCTGGAAAGAGCATCCACGTGATTAGAGGGTTGGGGTTTTGAGCCACAGGAAGGGAAGAGCTAGGTATTGGGTTCAATAACTCAATGGATGGTGTCTACTTAATAAAACCCAACAAAAACTCTGGATACCAGAACTCGGTTGAGCTTCCTGGGTGGTGAGCACATCCATGTTTCAGTTCAGTGATGCATTCTGATTTCAGTAGGAGAGGACACTAAAGATCTTCATTTGGGACCCTGCCAGACCTTGTCCTGTATGTCTCTTTGTTTGGCTGGTTCTGATTTGTATCTTTTATAATAAAATTATAATGTCAAGTATAGCACTTGCTTGAGTTCTGTGAGCCATTTTAGCAAAATGTTGAACTCTGGAAGCCACAGGAACCCCCAAACTTGAGGTACCCAATTGGCTAGAAGTGCAGGTTGCCTAGGGACCTCTGATCACGTGTCTGGCATCTGAAGTAAGGACAGTCTCGTTGGAGACTCTTAAACCTGTGGAATCCATGTTAACTCCAGGTGATTAGTACCATGGGCCTTCCATGGGCTTTCATGAATTTGAACAACTGAAGATTCAAAGAGATGATTTAAAGTCTGAGGAGGGATGCGGGTAAGTCATATGCAAGTACTATGCCATTTTATATAAGAGACTGAGTGTTCCCAGATTTTTGTATCTGTGAGGGACCCTGGAACCAAGCTCCTTCACATAGGAGAAATGACTGTTATCAGAGTTGTTTTGCAACATTGCAAGCTCCCTATGGGATCAGAAGTCATGAAGTCAGTCCCCTTGTAGTCCAGGGAGACCCGTTTAGTTTCCTGGGTATGAATGAACTCTCAATTGCTGGGGTCACAAGACTTGGAGACTGAAATAACCTGTCTCTACCACTGGAAAATTAATCTGCAGGGCCAGTGTTAGTGAACTCAACACGCTGAGGTTAAGCACCTTAGCTCTTGAGAACAGGCCGGTCACCCTGGCTTTCTTTTGCCCTGCTTTCTCTGTGCAGCCAGTGGCCCAGGTTAGAAAGTTCAATACACCTACTTAGAACATTGACGGTGGACTCGGACGTCAGCTGGGAGTTCATGGGCATCACATATTCTATGGTGAAGCAGCGTCCCCGCTCCTCACCTAGGAGACAAGAATCATATTTCTAGGTTCTTCATGAACATGGATTCGAGGTTAGTACATTCAAGTGGTAATTCCAAACTCACATAAGGTCTTTGACTTGCTGTGTCTTTGCACATGGACTGAATACGAACCCTAGGGTCCCGCACTGGTGACCCCCAGCAGGGGTGGGGATATGTTCTGACATCACATCCTTCTGGAGCATGGTTCTGAGCACCACGAATTGCATGATAAGAGGTCAGGACTGGGAACCCCACTGGGCAAACGCCCCACTGTGTCTCCTTGCTTCTGGATGGAGGGGGCTGATGGGAGTGCACAGCTGGCTTAGATTCATGAGTGTGGGTGTCACAGAACAGGTCCTGGTGACTTCAAATTCTGCTTCAGATTTAAGTAGAGCCTGACGCCACACAGTCTGGGGCAGTGGAAGGTCAGGTCAGAATGGGAGGCTCAACGAGTGACCAGGAAGCCAGGCCTGCCGAATCCCATCCCACCACCATCCCACCCGCCACACAGAGTCACAGAGCCTCACTTGGAAAAGCCCAGTGACCACTCTGTGGCTGTCCCAGCCAGCCCAGGCTTGCAGCCATTCTTGCAGGACATGGGAATGCTTTTCTTGTGCAGGCTGGAGCTGGGCCGTGATAAGGAGATCAAGAACGGAGGTCTTGGAACAGGGTGCCAGGGAAGCCCTGGTGAGCTCATGGGAGGCCCAGGTAGGCAGGTAGGTAAATATGATCAAACCCGGCACCATCCTACAGGGCCCCAAGGACCTGCTTTGGGTTTTTCCTGTGTCACAGAAGAACAGAGAAACCGCTTAGTATTTCCTGTCCTGCAAACTAGGGGAGGCTGACTTAAGCTCCTGAGGGATTTGTAGAGTGGAAGCCATAACAAGCTTGGCTTCAGTGTTGGGGGGTTACACAGGATCCCAGCTCGAGGAGCCGGGATGTGCAAGAGCAGTCGGCACCTGCTCAGGTCATCCCAGCCGGCCCTGGGGGGCGGGGCATGGGAGGGCGGAGCCTCAGGAGGGGACCTGGGAGCTGAGAGGCTTGCTCAACCTGTTATCCACTTGGAGAGTCCGCTCCCCTGCTGGACCAGGTCCTGGATGCTGAACCCAGCACAGTCCAGAGCTTGTGGGGATTCTCTGTGACAATGCCTCCTTCCAGCATCTCTTCCCCGGGAGGAACCACTTGGGGCAGGTTTTCCCAGGGGGAGGGCTGGCGCCCTTACCTGCCAGGAAGCAGACGCGCCAGAGGCCCGAGTGCAGGGACATCTTGACCTCAGTGCTCTGGTTCTGGGGCAGGACCACGCCTTCCTCCAGGTACAGCCAGTAATCGGTGCTGACGGCGATGCCCAGGAGGCCCAGGCCGCAGACCGCAAAGACGCTGCTCAGCAGGGTCAGCGCCTTCCTCCCGCAGGTGCTCATCTTCCCGGCCACTGGCTGGACGCCGGCCCGCACGGTGCTGGCTCTGGGAAGGGAGGGTGAGAGGGCCAAGATGAGGAGCAGTAGCACGAATAAAGACTCAGGGGCTCTGGCATGGGGCTTCTGCACTCCGGCTACAATCTGGGGTCACTGAGGGGACGTCTAAAAACCCCCAAGACCCCTGGGCTTCGCTGCGGTCTGAGCAGTAGAGTTGTTTATTTATTTATTTATTTTTGGTACTGGGGATTGAACTCAGGGGTATTTGATCACTGAGCCACATCCCAGCCCTGTTTTGTATTTTATTTAGAGACAGGGTCTCTCTGAGTTGCTTAGTGCCTCACTTTTGCTGAGGTTGGCTTTGAACTCACAATTCTCCTGCCTCAGCCTCCCAAGCTGCTGGGATTACAGGCGTGTGCCACTGCACCCAGCTAGTTGGTTTTTTGTTGTTGTTGTTGTTTGTTTGTTTTAAAGCTTGCAAAGCACTGCATCAAGTTCTTGAAGAATCACATTACATACTATGTAAAAGGCTGGAAAGCCTGTTTGGCTATGCAGATTCTAGAATTTTCCAAACTTATTTGACCACAGAATGGCATCTCCATCGTGTTCTGGGAAACCCACTCTAGGAACCATTTGCCCCCATGAAAAACAAGAAGACCTGCTCTGTCCATGCTACAGAATTGCCAGGGGGTTGACTGCAATGGCAGAAGTCACTGTTTTGAAAAATCAGAAGCACAGTCCTGGTGCAGGGTTTTATTATTAGGCAACAATGGACTAAGCCCCCACTTCTTGCAGAGCAGACAGATCAGAGCTCTTGAAATACGACAGCTGCTGCCTGGCAGAGGCTGAGCAGCCAATTTTAATGTTAAGCTTGGCAGAGAGCTGAGAAAGATTTGGGTCTTGGAGATTTGGAAGGATGGAAGTAGAGAGGAGATTGTATCTGAATCTAGAAAAGCAAGACATAAAAGAAGAGGTTGAAGGTGACCTTGCCTGCTAATCTCTGCAGGAGCAGACCCCAAAGCCTGGAATGTGCTGAGGAAAACCCCCAAAGTCTTAAACCTTCCCAGAGAACTCCACATGGGGTAAAAATAACTACTTTATTCATTATAAAGTTATATTTTATGCTTCTATTGTGTCATTGTATCTATTTGTCAATAAATAATATCTTGGATCCAGTGCCAGGCTACTGTGCAGAGTCCTCTATGTACAGTGTCTCAGGACCTCACAGCAATCTTGGAAGTAGCGAGTATGGGTCCCACTTTGTGGGTGAGGAAACTGGGGCTTAGAGATGTTATGTAGCCTGCAAGACACCGTTGGTGCATGGCGGACCACAGATTTAAACCTCGGTCTGATTCCACATTCTTGCCCAGATGACATTATATTTATACATATATATCTATTTTAAAGTTTTTTTAGTTGTAAATGGATGCAATACTTTTATTTATTTATTTTTGGTGCTGAGGATTGAAATCAAGGCCTCACTCATGCTAGGCAAGAGATCTACCACTGAGCTACAGCCCCAGCCCCCAGACAACACTATTGTTGGCTTCAGGGAGTGTGGGGTGAAGGACAGACACCCAAGGTAGGTTGCTTAGGGAATCCGGAAATGTAGAAGACACAGTACTTGGAAAAATTTCTTTTTGCACGGCCCAGGGTTACATAAGGGCTGTTGCTTGATACTTTGGGACTCCCAGTTGGATGTCCTCCAGCAAATCCCCTGGTATCCGTGTCATGGTGGTGCACTATGACTCAGCATTTCTGATTCAGAAAACCACCATGCAGGGAAGCAGGACTCATACCCCCCCTTAACCCACACCAAAGACATTCAAGTTCCAGGGTAGGAGTCCCTGAGATCACCCAGCCTGCAACTTGGAGGGACGAGGGTGCAAAATGTAAATATTTTGAGCACCCATCCAGTGCTTCTTTCTCTGGAGTGCACGGAGAATTAAAACACAGTAAATGAACATTACCTGTCCGTCCCTCTCTGGAAACACCACCATTATTAATACCTTACTTCATGGCTCTAAGGTCCTTGCTTAGCATCTGGAAGGCCATCTTAAGTGACAACCACCATTTTAAGGAAAAGGTTTTGCTTTCCCGCCCAAGTCTTTCTGAGAAAGACTCACCACTCCTTCATACCAACCCAACCCTTAACGGCCCACGTTAGGACCCGCTGGGCTCTGATTCCTGAGCCCCCCCATAAAAGTCCCGGAACGCAAGCCTGTTTTGCCTCTCTCTCCCCTATAGAGAGAGGGCCTTATTGGTCAGCTCTGAAAAATAGACTCTCCTGTGGATCTCTGCCTGGTCTCCATCTTTCATTTCTTGCTTACCCTTCTCTCGTTCCTCGCTTTCCCTTCCATGGCCATGCCGTCTTTTAAAATTTCCTATGTGATTGTGCATGCGAGTCTGCACATTCTCCCACCCAAGGCCTTCAGGAGGCCCCTTGGAGACACTGTGGTTGGAATGGATTCCTAGCTCCTACAGAATCAGGGGAACTCACTGCTTCTCCAGGCTGTGAATCTCCTCCCTGTTCGATTATGTTCATTTGTTTTATTCTGAAGGGAGGAAGGCAGACATTTTTTTATTAGTTGCCACCCCAAGAAGAGATGTTGACCCTCTAATGTTCAGTGAACAAAGCTGACTGCAAAACCATCATTTACTATCAGCTCTGCTGTGTAAAAAATGCACAGACTGGGAGGAAATAAAACCAAAATATTGACGGTAGATGCTTCCAGGTAATAAGGTTATGTATATTTTAAGCTCTTTATGTTTTTCTGTGCTCAATAAAGATTGTAAAAGAACATGCATTATTTCTATAGCTAGAAAAGAAAACTAAATTAAAGTTTAGAGACATCAATTCTGCAACCACTGCCCTTGTAAACAATAAATGCAGGGCTCTGGCTAACTCCTGGGTGGGGGACGCCAAAATGCAGTGTCACTCTTGGAAAACTAGGGCTCAGAAGCTCGACAGCTTTGAGCATTTTAAGATGATTACCCCGTGCCATTACCTCTAAGTATTAGATTGTTAATTATCAGAAATTAACAGTTGCTAATTATTATCCAGGGCTGGCAATTAGGGAGAAATGTCTTGTGGAGATTAAATCACTAATGGCCCATTTTCCCTCCCAAACCAATAGTAAAAGGGTTTCAAAGAGCGCTTAGGGGCTCCAAGGCAGGTGAGGTTAAGGGTGCCCAGGAGAGTCTAGCTATGGGACCGCAGAGGAGGATGGATGGAGGACAAACTCACGTGTCCTGATCCCAGTCTCCCACTGGCCCCCCAAAGACCCCCATCGTGCTTTGATGAAGGGTTCGGGATTCTTGACAAAGCTTTGCAGCCAGTGACAGCAGCTGCTCTTGGGAGCTGGCCCAGTGACTCAGTGTTGGCCTGGCCAGTGGCCAGCAGGGTGAGCTGGAGATCAGGGCAGAGTCTCCAGAGGTTCCTGTAACCCTGCTCCTTCCCACCAGGCTGCCCTGTTATCTTCTATGGCAGTGGATGCTCCCCCATTAAGCAGTGGGGTCTGTGTGTCCTGGCCTTGGTGCGGCAGGTCTGTAACTGCACTGATGTTAAATGTTAAGTGCACAGTAGGAAGGCCATGGGCCTTCTGAGGCTGGGTCATAAAAAGAGATGTGGCTTCCTCCTGACTCTTGGATGCTCACCAAGGGGAAGCTAGCCTTGATGGTAAGAGACCCCACTCCCCCGAGGTCCCCACACATTAGGACAGTGCTTCTTGGCTGCAGCCCTATTGACATTTGGGGCTGGATGGTTCTTTTTCTTGGGGGGCTGTCATGTGTGTGGCAGGAGGTTTAGCAGGATCTTTGCCCTCTTCCCCACTCGATGCCAAAATGATAGGCAAAAGTATCCTAGTGGGGGAAAATGTTTCTAGTCGGGAAACTGCTTTCCAGGCCAGGTGCAGATGTCCTGGTGGACAGTCCAGCAGAACTTCCAGCCCACAGACAGCTGTGAGTCATGAGATTAAGTCTTCCTAGATGGACATCTAGCCTGGATGAGTTGCAGCCCCGGACAACATCCAACAGCAACTATATGAAAAATCACAAGAGCTGCCCAGCTGAGCACTCCCCAAATTCCTGACCCCCAAATCAAGAGCAAAATGAAACAGTTGTTGTTTTATGCCACTATGTTTCAAGGGAATTTGATACATAGCAAAAGTTACTAAAATAGCTTCTTTACTCACTTAATTAGCATCTTCTTCTCATGGCCTAGATAGACTCTAAATCCAAGGTGTGGCTTTGGCCCTGAATGTAACTTAGTGATGGAGGGCCTGCAGCTCATAGTCTATTCCTTGGAATTTACAGCCACGTGAGGTGTGAAGGGCATATGGGATCAGGCAAATTCAAATGGAGGTGCTGGCTCTCCTATGTACCCATCCTGGGCAAGTCATATCTCCACTCTGAACCTCAGTCTCTTCCTCTGTAAAACAGAAATAACCTCATAAGAATTTTTGTAAGGATTTATGAAAGTGTAATAGAACAAGGCTTGGCTACCTCTTAAACTCTCAGTATAATGCTAAGGTAACAGAGTAACACAACTTGATCCAGGAAGAGTAATAAATACCAGGGCAGATTGGAGAAGCTAAATTTGCCTCTGCAAATCAGCAAAATGGCCTGAACTTTTTACTTCCACCCAACAATCTCCCTCTTATTGTGGCAGTTGCTCTGCAGAGTATATTTATTTATTTTTCATTTCCACCCCTGGCAAATTTCAACCCTCCATCAACCAGTTGGAGACATTTTAGGTTTTCTCATATTGCAGAAGGGTGTGGAATGCCTTCCTGGTGGGTAGTGTGACATCTCTGTAGACATATCACAAAGACAGTATTAGCAAACATGAGTGCAGTGCTTACTACGGTTGAGCACAGCAGGTGCAGCATCAGAAGGACCTTGTCCCTTGGAGCTTGGAGACCTCAGGGTCATTACTGTCTCACTGTCCTAATGGGGCCCCTCCCAGAGACACTGCCTTTCACCAAGTGGTCCTGAAGCTGCCTGTTTTCCCGCTGGCCCCGAGCTCTCTGTGCCACATTGCTGATGCTCTTGGAGTTTGAATCTTGCCGGGCAACGATTCACTGCCCTCACAAGACAGGAGTGTGCTCCCTGCATTCCACGCACTCTGCCCCAAGACTAAGAGCAGGGCACAGTAGCCAGTCAGCCAGAAGCTCGGGCTATGAGCTGAGGAAACAGCTCTGGCATAGCCCCGTCACAATGTGTCCCCCAAACCTCTTGGTGTGGAGGTCAGGGTCAACGAAAACTCCTCCTACTGTTGACTTGGCAGGAGATTGCTGATGAACTGGTTTCCATGGGGACCAAGTAGCATCATGGGCAACCAGCAAGGGTCACTGCTCTCGCCAACAAAAGTCTAGCTGGAGAGAGTTCACCATGACTGTTGAAGGTCCAACAAGATGCCTAGAAAAGCCTCTATAGTGCTTCTCCAAAGGTATGGACATGAACACTCTGGTTAAGTGGAAAAGCACTAACCAAGTAGTGATAATAGTGATTCCATCATTAGGGTTATTTTCGTTGCAGAATTTTTCTATGCAAATTAAAGGTTTTGCTATGCAATCAAACCACACTACACATACAATATGAGACTGATTTTATTTTAATTTATTAAATATTACCATTCTTTTCTTTTTTCTTGGGGGAGGGGTACCAGGGATTGAACTCAGAGGCATTCAACCACTAAGCTACATCCCCAACCCTTTTTGGTATTTTTATTTAGAGACCGGGTCTCACTGAGTTGCTTAGCACCTCTCCTTTGCTGAGGCTGGTTTTGAACTTGTGATCCTCCTGCCTCAGCCTCCCAAGCGGCTGGGATTATAGGTGTGCACTGCTGTGCCCAGCACACCATTATTTCCTACTGTTTTTAGTAGCTATAGAACACATGCTCTCTAATTTGCCTATACCAAAACCGATATAACCATTTGCCTACTGGGGAATAGTTAGGTTGTTTCCAAAAAATTTCTTAGTGTAATCAACAATGAATAAACATATTCATTACTAAATAACTCTGGGCAACTGCAAGTATTCTTTTTTTTTTTTTTTTTTGGAAAAAATTCCTGCAAGTGGAATATCTAAAGGACATGAACCTTTTTAGCACTCTTGAAGTACCATCAGACCTCGTTTGAAAGATTTCAAAGGCATTACTATCCCTACTGCCTATGGCACAGTGAAGGTCTCACTTCAGGGACATAGAATTTCACACTCACCCCCAATCAGAAGAGTTGCTCCCCTATCTCCACGGAGAAATTGGCACCTGGACTCTGTTCTGTTGCTTGATGCACCAATGGGATTTGCTAGATTAAGATTTCCATGCTAGAGACAATCCTTTGGGAAATTCCAGGGCCTCCAGTGTAAAGCAAAATGTCTTATACCAGCGCTCTGGTTTTAATCTCAAATGTAGCTCAAAGGTCTGTGTGTTAAGGGCTTAGTCCTCAAGGTGGCGCTATTGGGAGGTAGTGGAACCTTTAAGAGGTGGGGCCTAGTGGGAGATCTTTAGGTCATGGGTATGCCTGTGAAAGGAATGATGGGATACCAATCTCTTTTGCTTCCCAGCCATGAGGTGAGCAGTTTTGTTCTTCCACAGGCTCCTGTATGATGTGCTGCTCCGCCACAGGCCCAAAGCAACAGGGCAAACTAATCGTGGACTGAGACCTATAGAACTGTGACCCCCAAATAATCTTTTCCCTTTATAATTTGATAATCTCAGGTATTTGTTATAGTGATACAAAGCTGACTAACATAACCAGTGATTTGAAACCTTCTCAGGTGCATCATATCACTTATACAATACGTAAACATACAGACGCTCAAGTCAAGATTGGCTGGAAAAATAATCACTAAAAATCATCCAAATACTGAGATAAATGGCTAAACACAAAAATTATATATCAAAAAGCCAACAGATATACACCAACAGCAGCCAGTTGAAAAATGTAATGCATGAAAAAAATCCTGTCTGTGAAGCAACAAAATGGTAAAGTTTTAGATTATCTTACTAAATTATATGTTAATGCTACATAAAGAAAAACCTTTAAATTATTGACAAACATAAAATGAGACTGACAAACATAAAACAAGATTGATAAATAATGTCACATTTTTAGATTGACAGTGTCATATAAAAGTGTCATCTTTCCCCTAAGTTAATCTATGAATTCAGTGCGATGAGTTCTCTGGCACATGATTCTGGGGTTAGTCTAGAATAAGAAACATTGATTAAATAGCCGGAAAATTATTTTAAAGTTGAAGATAAATAAGTAGGAGCTATTAGATATTTTTGTTTATGATGCAGACTCTGCAATTAAAATATTTTGATGCTGATGAAAAAAATCGATACATCAATAGAAATTTTTAAAAAGCCATTTCCAGCTGTGATTAACTAGCTTGTTAAAATAACAGTTTCTGACTATGTTTAACTAGCTTGTATTAGACTAATTCTCCCACTGAGAATAACTCTAACAGTTGGATAAAGTGTAAAAAATCTGTTTAAAGACATTGGACAGCAATCACAAAAATCCATGATTCTAGAGGTCAAGAGCAATTGACATTTTGTACAAATTTTCCAATTGAAGTAAAGTATTTGCTAGTTCATACAGTGTGGGTGTGAGAGGCTGAGCAAAAATCTGCAGATCTTACAGTAGTACATCGTGCTATAAAATCAAAATGAGAGTTTAGGGCTTGCCAAGGAGGAGCGTTGTGGTAAAGAGAAAAAATTTTCAAATGGGGGCCTTGGGAATACTCATACTCTCTATAAAGAAGTAATACTCCATGTAAAGAAATAATCCAGCTTCCACTAGATGGATATCCATCTTCAGAGCAGCTCAATTCATGATTGAATGTAGGCAATCTTCTCCTAGGTAACAGACTGACAAAAATCAAAACTAAATCCCATCTTGGGGAATATCATAGCATAAAGAGCAATTCTACTTTTCCATGTGAATGTCTAGTGCTCAATGAAAAAAATACCAGACATATCAAGAAGCAGGACAAGACTAAAAAAGGAAACATTGGACACAGAAATGATGAGAGTCAGAACATAATACGGCAACACTGTTAACATGCCTAAAAAATAATCATCAACTCGGATTTTCATACCCAGTTAAAATATCCCTCAACATTGGAGGCAAAATAGGAATATATTCAGACAAACAAAAATGAGGAAATTTGGCATCAGTAGACTTGCATCAAGAGAAATGTTAATGCCCGGTGTGGTGGCACATGCCTGTAATCCTATTGGCTGAGGCCCAGGGTTTGCTAGTTCAAAGCCAGCTCAGCAAAAGCTAGGTGCTGAGCAACTCAGTGAGACCCTGTCTCTAAATAAAATACAAAATTGGGCTGGGGATGTGGCTCAGTGGTCTAGTGCCTGTGAGTTCAATCCTCAGTACCCACCCCCACCAAAAAAAAAAAAAGAAAAAGAAAAAAAGAAATGCTGAATGTGTTTGTGACACAGAATGAATTAGTGCCCAAGCCCAGGAAGGCAGGACAGGAAGCAGCAGCAATGGAAAGGACAATTACCTGGGTTAGTGTAAATAAGTGGTGAGTGTAAAAGGAACAATAGTACTATCTTGTGGGTTGAAACACAGGTGGAATTACTTTGAAGCTGATGTGCCCTTTTTCTATGACTTAAGATTTTATCTGTTGAACTGAATGGTAAGAAAATCATAATTTACCACAACTTATTGGGTGAAGCAAAGTTGACTCAGAAGAAAACCATAGCCTCAAGAGTATGTGTGTGTGTGTGTGTGTGTGTGTGTGTGTAGCCCCTTGGACACACACATAGGAGGAAGAAAATAACAACATGGAAGAAATTAATGAAAAGGAAACAAACACGTAATGAAGAAAATCCACGGTAGAATTGGTAAATTCATTGTAGAATGGGGGTGGGTGTTGAGAGCCACAGCCAAAGGGGCCCCAGCAAACTTCCAGCTGCCAGCAAACTTCCAGCTGCCGGCTGATGATTGGCTCACAGCGGCCCCAGCAACATCTAGCTGATTGGCTCTTCTGTGGTGATGCTCATTGGGCTGTTTCCCTGCCCTTTCAGACCACGGAGCTGCTCATTGGGGGACTTCTTTGGCTCCGCCCATGTGACCCAGCCAATCGGCCTCAAGAGCAGGAGGATTGTGGGAGGTGGAGAGGTTTGTGTTGGGGTGAGAGGCTTGTGGGAAGCCGGTGGTGGCAGTTGGGCTCTGAGGGTTTTTTCCTGAGGAGCTGTTTTGTTTGGGTATGTAGTTCTAAAAATAAAGTTAGTTTCTTTTGACAAGTGGCTCTTGAATTGTGCCCAGCCAAGACTGCAGCAGGTGGGGAAGGAGTGTGCAGAGGGAGAGTATGGGTCCAGGGCTGGCGCGGCTGTGGAGTCGAGGCCCTCTCCTCTACACTGATGGGGATGAGCATACAGCTCCACTTGACATCCACCTA